CGTGTGGTTTACATCTTCATGTGTGATAGTATGCAGTTATGGATGTGCTTTTTTTATGTATGTTGGGTGTGTGTGTGTAGGGGACCAGGGAGGGAGACATCAAATAGCTCACATTCTTGGATTGTTTATCTTTTGATTTCCTGCAATTTTATCATTATTGCCCCCAGCTCAAAGATCAACCTTTCAAGTGTCTAATTTTCTCCCCAACTCTGAACATGAGGAGAAAAACATATAATCTGTCTCCACTTTGAGGCTGTTGCAGAGCTGCTTGTTCAGAGAGCTACCTTGGCATTCCCTTTGAAATGTGGGAACTCAGCAGTATGCAGTCTTCAGGGCTTAGAAAACCTCACTGTAGGTCTGTTTAGATGGAGAGTTTATACCACGAACTGGAGATGGCAAAATCATTCCTTTCCTTGCTTCTCATGTGTGCTTATATCACAGCTGGCTGGCTGGAAGTGTGCCCTTGTTGCAAAGAAAGCTAACAGTATACCGGGCTGCGTTAGTAGGACCATTGCCAGCAGATCAAGGGAAGTGATTATTCCCCTCTATTCAGCACTGAAGAGGCTACAACTGAAGTACTATGTCCAGTTTTGGGGCCCCACTACAGAAAGGATGTGGACAAACTGGGGCGGGGAGGAGGATTGAATAGCAGCCTTCAACTACCTGAAGTGGGGTTCAAAAGAGGATGGAGCTGGACTGTTCTCTGTGGTGGAGAGAAATGGTCTCAGATTGCACCAGGGGAAGTTTACGTTAGATATAAGGAAAAACGTTTCTCACTCGGAGGGTAGTAGAGCACTGGAACAGGTTACCCAGAGAGGCGGTGGAATCTCCATCCTTGGAGGTTTTTAAGACAAAGCTTTGGGAGGGATGAGATAGTTGGGGATGGGTTTGCTTTGAACATTAGGCTGGACTACTACATGATCTCCTGGGGTCCCTTCCACCCCTAATTTTCTATGAAATGGAAAGAGAGCCTGGGAAAGTGAGCACCATAAGGAAGGATCTAAGTTTTGGCTCTCCTGGGACAGGAAGTACATTTCCCCCCCACCATGTATGTGGTTGAACCAATGCGACAGAGCAGCAAAATGAAACTGCTGTAAACCAGAATGTCCACTACTGGGATCTCTAGAAACAGTGGGCATTTATACATATGCTCTGGGGATAGGGGTGGCAGGGCCACACTTTACTTGGAGCAGCTTCAAGAGCCTCTGTAATTAAAGTGTCTCGTGTACCGGCATCCCCACACTGAAAAACAGCTGCTGGGTGCTTTAATTAAAGCTTGTCAAATGAGATTTTGTTAAAGCACCCCACCACCATTTCTCAGCACAGGGACACTAATATGCAAGATGCTGGAGTCTACTGGGGAGCGGTAATTACCACACTCCAGCAATTAATTGCAGCCTTCCTGCATGTGTATAGGTGGCCAGTGTGCTTAAGCTACTGTGATCATGTCTGCCATACAGTGGTGCAGGATGAAGGAGTTTACTCCTCTCCCTCAATACAGCCCCACCTTCCAGCCCCATGGGCCAGAAGCCTGATGCAGAGCCAAGCTGTGGGCTGGATACAGTGTGGAGTTAGCACGTTTTTCTGTATGGGATCAGTTTATCTGTATGTGCGCAAACTGACATGCCAGATCCAGCCATGGCTCAGCCCTGTGCATTGGCTGAGCCCTGGGACCCAGACCCATCCACAGCCAGGCCTGCACAGGGGTCTGCACCAGATCTGGCCACAGAACAACTCTACACACCTGTGCAATCTAGCACGTGGGGACATGTGATCCAGCCCACAGGGCTCCCCACCAGGGGTCCAGAAATTTGGTGGGGGGAGCCATGGCAATTAGTGCTGCCACAGCTTATATAGGCTTTGCACAAGGGACCAAAATTTGGACCTTTGAAAAGAACCACTTTCCTATATATATATATATA